GCAGCAGGTCAAGCATTGGGCAAACCATGACAGGTGAAAAGCCAGCAAAATGGGATGCGGAGGAAAGGGCCACTGGACAGAGCGACCTCCCTGCCTTTAGGTCTCGATCTTGTATTGGCCAAATTTTGGCTGCGTGAGCCTTTGGGCAAGTTCCCTGTAACCCGGAAATGGGCCTCTGCCCTTGATACTGTTGTGCTTCTGCGGTAGTCGGGTGGAAGGTGGACAGCCCTGTAAGCAAGGTGTGTGTCACCACCACCTCGTTTGTAAAGGCCGTGGAAATGGTTGGTGGTCTTGTGCAGTGCAACCGCCCCGTAATCGGGGTCCAGGCCAGCTGCCAGACTGGGTGTGCGCTGCCTCTTACTGAGTAAGAATGACAGGCGATTTGAATGTCCATAGCGCTGGACGTCCCATAATTAGGAGTCCAAGTTCACTGCTCTTCCCAGCCAGTCGCAGAGGTGCCCCTGTAAGCAGGGTGGGCGTAGCCGCCTTCAGCTGGCCTGAGACGGGGCAGTCTGCAGCGTTGTGCAGCAGGACGCCTTGCAGACAGGAGCCGAGTCTCGTTGGTGACAGCAAACTCTAGAACCCGGAGCCTGATGACCTTCCCATGTCTGGGTTGAAGCTTGTGGCCTCCTCACCGATCCCTGTGTCCAGGCACCTGTCCTTCCTGCATCTGTGCCTGGCACCCCTCATCCGGATGGCTGGACCACCCCGTAAGGAGGGTATGAGTCCCGTGCCTCTTGGTGGAGGGCTAGGTCCTGCAGAGCTGTGGACCAACCTGTAAGCAGGGGGCAGGTCTCACTGCCTCTGGGGACAGCTCTGTCCTTTGGCTGGCTGAGGCCCCTCACTGTAAGCATGGTTCTGGGTCTTTTCCCTTTTGCCCCCTGTGGCCAGTCTGGCTAGCCCGGGGGGCCGGACCCCTCTAGGGGGGGACCTTCTTGTCCCCTGGGAGCGGAGGAGGATTTTCCAGTGTAAGGCTGGAGGTGAAGCGTTTTGCAGCATGGAGCTCCTTTCTGGCCTGGGAACACTTTTTCCCTTGTCAGAGTGTGGAGAGCGAGAGAGAGAGGAGCGCCTGGGAATGAGAGCGTTTGTTATTTTCTTTTTGTTGTTAAAACCGCTGCAGCATACTTAATTTTCTTCCCAGTGCTGGGAAAGGGGCAAGATGCGTCCTCGTAGCCTTCTCCCACCTCCACACCAAGGGCGATAAGCACTAGAATAGATTTCCAGGCCTTTTGGCCTCAGGGAGTGTTACCCCCTCCCCCCCTGCAATATACACTTTGGCACATGACCTCCCTGTATCTCAGGGTACAGGTCTTGGGCTCCTTTTTGGGTTCTTTGGGCCACTTGGTACTTTGCAGGCAGGATTCTTGCCCTTCTTGGGGGCAGGCCATGTATTCCCCACCTGAGGCGAGTGCCCTGGAGACGAGTGCCCTGGCACTTGGCAGCCGTTCTTCTGCACCCCTGACCCCGGCCTGCAGCCTGTAAGCAGGGCCCAGGTTCCCTTGATTCTCCAGGTCGGGTCGGGTCTCGTTCCACTTGCTGAGGTTGGCCAGAGACGATACCCACAGACTACAGGGAAGGGTGCAGGCTTCTGGCGGACATTGTGTGTGTTGGGACCCCGAGGCTTAGTGACCGTCCTGTAACTCAGGTTCAGGTCTCTGCTCCTCTGTTCTGCTGCTCCTGGCACTATAAGATGGCCCCGCCGCACCCCGTAAACAGGGCTGCAGCCCCACTCCCTCTGACCGTGGGGGAGGAGGCCTCTTCTAGCTCTTTGGGCCCTGTGGCTTCCGTGGCAGGAGGCTGATGTCATGGCCCTTCTGTCCTATCTGGCCCTTCTGTCCACGGGGCAGCTTTGACCCCTGATCAAGACCGCCTGGGACACCTGTCAGCTGGCATTCAGGACTTTGCAGGTTGTCTCTAGGCTTCCTGCCCCAGCCACCAGCTGTGTGTGGGGAGCAGTGCCCTGTCAGCAGGGTTTCCAGTGTTTGTGGTCACCGTTCATGGTGCCACCCTAGCAGTTCTGTCCAGTCCTGGCCTGTCGCAGTCTCCTTCTGGCTGGCCCAGATATCAACGGCTGAGCCCACAGACGCTTTCTGCGGACAGAGGACAGAGTGACCATGGGTCCGGGTAAGAGTAAAACGGAGAGAAATTGTGGTCCATAGTCTGGTCTGCTGATGTGTTGACTTAAATCCAGTGTCTGTCTGTTTTCTAAGCCCCCAGAAGAAGAAGCAGACAAGATGGCAGACAACCAACTGAGGAAGAAAGAAACCCCTGCCCGCCCAGCAGGAGGGAAAGGTAAGGGAGTTTGGACACGGTGTCTGTCCTCTCTGCAGGTTGCATCCCCAAGTTGTCGACCTTGTGATTAGCGCCTTGTGGGAGGTGGGAGCACTGGGGCAGCTGCACACACAGGATTCGTGTCTTAGGTCCTGCTGTTGTCATACACGGGTAACTGCTAGGGGGGTACTTGTCCTCTTTTAGTAAACTGGAGGTATGTCACATCCCCCTTGTTTTTTAAGGACACCAATCTCGAGAGTATGATGGGCACTGGGAGATACTTTTGACACTATTTTTCCAGGGGTGTGGGATTCATTGCCAGTCAACTCCACTTCTGTTGTGTGTACTCTTGCAGGTCCCTGAAGGGCAGCTGGAGAAGAAGGAAGGGAAGCAGGAAAAGGAAGCTCGGGAATGAGAAGTGTGGGTTGCGGTGCGCAGGAGGGAGGAGCGAAATGTTTCATGTATGCTTAGGTAAATACAGATGGAGACTGGTGTGCATGTCTACGCTTTCAAACGCCCATTAGGAGCGAGCAGCCGCACGCTTCAAGTTGCACCGTGCACTCGGTTTTGGGTTGGCCCCGAGTGTGTGCAAGGAGGTTGAGGCTTTGTGCTAGTTGTGCGTATTTAAATGCAACAGTCAAGGGTTTTGCAGGTTGTCTGGCTTGACTAGTTAAGCAGTGGATCAGAATAGATGCAGCTGAAGGCACTGTGTAGGTTTTCCTTGGTTGGGTTGTTGAGCAGTTCTCGGTGTTAGCGTAGAAATGCAGGTTTGTGCTCAGTTCTGTTTGTGGCTTGGCTGTAGCTTGCTTAGGCTGTAGGTTGCGGGGCCAATTTCAGGCTGTTTGTGGTGCAGTTTGTTTACGTCTGGAAGTTAAGGCTCCGTGGGTTTTTGAAAGCATTGTATCTCCAGCTCCATGACCCATGAGGATGAAGGACTCATCCTGTGTCCAAAGGATCCCAAAGGGAGTTGGCGTGGTCGGCGTCAAACCGGTAGGAGCAAGCGGGCCTAAGATGTGCACAGTCAAATAAAAAGCGGTCTAAGAAACTTCACCTTGTGGCTGGGGCTTTTTTACGCTGAGAAAATTTTGCAGATTTGTCCATGGGCCTTTCCTGTTGCGAGCTGGCTGAAGGATGAACTTTTTCATTCAGTCTGGCGATCCGATCTGTGTTCTTACTTGTGCAGTGCAAATATTTCCCCTTCTGTTTGACCAGCGGTAAAAGAATGTGTAACACGTGGTTCCTAGTCTTCGGTTTGCAATGGTTGGCGCGCTGTTTTTTGAAGAAAGAAAATATAAGGTCCAGTGAAGTTGTGGTGGTTTGTATAATTTAGTGGAGTTCAGCTGTTCCTTGTCTCACAAAAAAAAATGGTCCCAAAAAAATAAAATGCTTGTTTCAGACCTTCTTCTCTGAATGCCTTTAGCACAAGTCTTGCTGCCTCTAATGGCAGGGGGGGGGCTTTTTCTCTGAGGGCTGGGTCCTGTTGGTGGGAAGCTGCATTGTGACTGTTGCAAGAAGAAGGACTGTGTGGATCCCCAGTTGCCTCCAGGTTTTCATGAGCCCCTTAAGTCCAGCTGTGGTCCTGCCCCCCTTGCCTGTTTAATGTAGTGTCTGCAGGCTTTCAGCCAGCTCTACCCATGTCATCCCTGAGGGGCCCAAACTCATATTCTCAGTGCTATTATATATTTGGTTTTAATATATTTTTATTTCAAAATATATATTTTGAAATGTATTACTTAGTTTAATTATGGGGGAAAACACGTCGTGCATTTCCAGGGCATTTGGCTGGAAGAAGGGAATGAATATTTTTTAACCATTGAAGCAAGAATGCATTTGATTAAGTAGAGGCTTCTGATTACTGTAGCATGTAAGATACACATCTACTGTTGCTTTTGGCTGGTTCGCATCAGGTTTGCTGTTGAGCAGTCTTGAGCCCAAGCCCAATAGCAGACGCCTCTCCTCGTGCCCGCAAACCCAGCTCCGAGGGGCACGGCCCCAGTGCAAGCTGTAGACCTGGCAGGGACGGGTGCTCTTGCTGTGTCCCCATTCACTGCAGCGCCGAGGAGCCGTGGTTCATAAGCCGCTCTGCTCCCTGCGCTCCCCTGCCTGCTGCTTGTGCTCTCACCGGGAAGTTCATGTCTTTATCTTTATCTTCATCTTTGCACCGGGGGCAGGGGCAGAGCTTTCCCCACGGGCCTGTGGTTTTGCGTGCCTGCCATTAAGCACCATGAAGAGCTGTGACAGTCGTCTCACGGGTGCAGGGTTGTCCACTTTTTCTGAAAATTGGGGCTCTTCCAAAGCCCGGGCTTAGGCGCCCAGCATCACTAGTCAACTCTTACTATCCTGGCCAGTGGCTAGGGCAGGGTCACAGCACAGTGTCACCTTGCTGAGGTGCTGACATAAGCCCTTGCCTGCCCAAACGAGGCCCGAGCTGTCGGTGGCCCCAGCGCTGGGCCCACCGCACTTGCCCGCCCGCACCGCTCCCGCAGCGCGCACCTTGCAGCGCGCTCCGGACCCTAGGCGGACCAATCAGGGCAGAGAGCGCACGAGGCGGCCAATCACCGCGCAGGACTCTGCAG